TGCACGCGCAGTCGCCCGCGACACATACATATGTGCTGATTTGGGCATCGCTAGTCTAGTCCATATAAGAACATATGAATGTGGCATACATATCCTTATGTAAGTAGCCATAGCAATGAATTCGAAATATATGCACCTTATTTTGCNCTTCCGCGCTTGCCCAGCACCGCTGTGCAAAGCTTTGCACGCGCAGTCGCCCGCGACACATACATATGTGCTGATTTGGGCATCGCTAGTCTAGTCCATATAAGAACATATGAATGTGGCATACATATCCTTATGTAAGTAGCCATAGCAATGAATTCGAAATATATGCACCTTATTTTGCCTTTAAAAGTTTTTTTCAGCACTTAAATTTATAAATCTCGTTTTTTTTTATCAAAATTGCGGAAAATGTAAAAACACCTTTACGTCAATAAACCCTGTCGAANCGCGCAGTCGCCCGCGACACATACATATGTGCTGATTTGGGCATCGCTAGTCTAGTCCATATAAGAACATATGAATGTGGCATACATATCCTTATGTAAGTAGCCATAGCAATGAATTCGAAATATATGCACCTTATTTTGCCTTTAAAAGTTTTTTTCAGCACTTAAATTTATAAATCTCGTTTTTTTTTTATCAAAATTGCGGAAAATGTAAAAACACCTTTACGTCAATAAACCCTGTCGAGAGGCCACTTTTCCTAGGCATACCGTTAGTTCAGGTCGACAACAAAGATTGAGGGATTATTAGATTCTAGAACGTGTTAACAACAATAACTTGTCGTTTTATAAGACATCCCAATGTAGACGTCTGAGGAAGAATAAGTCTAGCAAGTTCAGAAGGATCTGTCTGCCTAAGAAGTACTCTGTGCTTGTCCAGTATTTTCGTTTGAAAGAGGTAGATTAAGAACAGTGGTTCCAGGAACACAATGTGCATCTCGTGTCATGCTTTTGTTATGTGCTAATGATTTTGTATAGTATATTACTTACCATCTTCCATGGTTTGCACTGCTATCTCTCTGCTCGGTGGTCCGCTGCCTTGACTTGTGTACGCCTGCACAATTATGTGATATTGTGTAAATTTGTTTAAGTTACTTAGTACCGTTTCTCCACCAAAATGTGACCGCACTTCGACAGTTTTGAAGCTAAACCCTTGTGTGGGATTCACTTCTTTGTCTTCAGGCGATAGTGACATTTGATATCCAACATAGTATCCTAGCAGTATTCCATTCCAATAGTCCCGATCTGGTGCATCCCATGTGACAGATATCTCGGTGGAGCTTCTCGCTTCTGCACGCACATTCAACGGTGGCCCAGATGGCACTTCCTCTAGAGTGGTTACTTGAACAACCTCTGAATACTCAGAGGCGCCCAATTTATTTTCCGCAGACATCCGAATATGATAAGCTTTCGCAGGACGCAGGCTTTGTATGTTGACAACTGTTTGACCACCGGTGATGGTTATATGCTCGGCATTTTGCCAAATATCTACAAGTAATTAAAGAAAAACAATAAAAAAGGAAACTTAGATTTTAATGAATACTGTATTTTACCAAACAAAGGTGCAAGACTTGAACAGATATTTTTGGTTTTTAACTGTATAAATATTATTTTTCTTTACTTTGTCAATAAAACTGCAGTTAAGGCTTGGTAAAATCAATTATAAGAAACAAAAATTGAAAAATGATTTTTATACCCGAGCGCACTTGTGCACAGCAGTATATTACCTTTGTTCTTATAACGGTAACAGCCAAAACGAATCGAGATGTCAAATGTATACATAAATGATCAGAATGAAAAGAGAAGTCGATTAAGCCTGTCTGTCTGTCCGTCCGTCCGTCTGTCTGTGTACACGATACCTCGAGCAAAAATTGAGATATCTCAACGAAATTTGGTATGTAGGTTGCACTTTATCCAAGGTAGGGTGGTACTGAAAATGGGCGAAATCGAACTGTAACCACGCCCACTTCCCATATAACGGTATTTTCGAAAAATGCATAAACTGCGATATTTCAGTAAATATTAGATGCAAATTAATGAAAATTAGTATGTAGGGTAGAATTGTGGCAGAAAATAATGTTGTTATGAAATTTTTGGAAAATGGGCGTGACCCCACCCACTTATTATGAAATGCTGTATCTCAGTAGCCGCTTCACCAATCCTTACCGAAGTCAGTACGAGGCTTAACCAGGGTCTAGCTAAGAAATCTGTTGAAAATCAAACCCACTAACCATATAACGGTAATTTACCGAAACACGAAAACTGCGATAAATCAGTAACTACTGCAGCTAATTCACTTAAAATCGATGATTGCAATAACCACTTAGCAGAAAGTTAGAATATTATAAATTTTTGGATAATAGCCGTGGCGCTGCCCACTTATGACCACAAATGTGTATCTCGGTAACCGATTTATCAACTTCCACCAAACTCGGGGCACTTAATAACCTTGGTACGGAAAAGCAATTTGTTGAAAATTATTCAAATCGGACTAAAATTACACCCGCTTCCCGTATAACGGTAAATTTCAGAAATACGAAAACTCCGATATTTCAATAACTGAGGCCGCTAATTTACTTTAAGTTAATAGTTATAACAATCTCCTAACAATAAATAAGACTGCTATAGACTTTAAGGAATTGGGCGTAACACCGCCCACTTTATAACTACAAAGGTGTACCTCGGTAACCATTTAATCGATTTGTTCCTGACTAGGTTCAATTATATCATTAAGTCTAAATCTGCGTATTATCGAAAACGTTTGAAATCGGGTAAACACCCCTACTTATCATGCAAAGGTAGTTCAGAGAAAGTTGAAACGACGATATGTGGTACCGGGTATATAAAGTTCGGTTTCGCCCGAACTTATACTTCTCTACTTGTTCGGTGTAATGTTTGGTTTTTCCATGATAATGATTGCAATTTTTCGAACGGAAAAAGTATTTTTTAAACACGCTTAAACATAAGTTCGATCCATCACAGAGTTGTGTTGTCTAGCCAGCCACGGCTCACCACTTTCCCCTCAAATTCAAACGATTTAAAACACATTCACAATTTTTTAGTCATCTCACCCACACACTTACAAATTTTTTGTTCGAACTGTCAAAACAATGACCCTTTGTTAGAGCTACATACCCGATAAGAATTCGTACTCTAATAAGAATTCTATGCGTTAGAGCGAGCAAGTTAGAAACATCGGAGTTTTGATGACAGTATACATACTGTGAAGAAATGTCACTTTGCGTAAATTTTGAAGGTAAGTATACGTATTTAACAATTTTATTTGATTACTAGCAGACCCGGCGAACTTCGTCCCGCCCAAAATTAATTTTTTGTATTGAAATATTTTGGTCCAAAATTTTCACCAACAGTTCACGTTGATGATTTTCAGTGACGCATTAAATCTTCTAATATTATGGCTTGGTGGTTGTCAGAAGGCATATATCCATTGCCATCTTAAATAACCTAGCAAAAGTGTATATGTATACACTGAGTATGCAAAATTGTACTATGAATCTGTAAGATACAAATTATGCTTTTTCCAATAAGCAATATTGTTTATATTAATCATTGTGCCGCTATGTGTGATCTGCCGTTAACTCCCCCCTCTCTAAGATGAATCGTCCCCGATTCTTCATTATTTTCTGTTAATTTGATTATTATTTGATTTAATATAACTTTATATGTATTTTCTTAAATTTCTACATTTTCATTTTGATTGGCAGTTTTATGCGGTTTTTTGAATTTAATGTGAATGTAAACTACCAAAATTATGCATAAAATTATGACAATATATAAAATAGATAAATGAGTTTTGACATTTTTATCTTCTTTGCCTATTATATTTATATTTTCCAATTTGAGTTGTTTATTGGTTGTTTCTATATATTCCAAAATTTCAAAGTTATTTACATAATCATTTTTTAAATAATTCCAAATCTTTCTACCAAGGTACATTGAACAGGTAGTATCAGTAGAGCAGCTGATTTGATTTATTTTCAAATTATTTGGTCTCGAAAATGTCAAATATTTTTAATTTTTTCTCACAAAAATTCTGAATTGTTAAAATCCATTTGCATGTGAAACCTTTTTCCATACAAAACAAGCGATTGAATAGCAGCTTTTGGAACGTTCGCCCAACTCAGCAGCACGACCGCTGATTACTGGGCCGTGCAAAGGATGGATCAATGCTTCGAGAAGCAAACAAATTTACTAGGAAAGAAAGTTGCATCAATTTTTATTTTTTCCAATTTCAATTTTTTATTTTTTATAATTTTTTGTATTTCACATGGCACGCTTTGATTTAGAAGAAAAAATTCAGAACAGTTTTTGACACTTTCGATACCAGAAGCAACAACAAAATACACGCAAATGTTGTTTTTGCTCTACTGATACTACCTGTTTAATGTGCCTTGCTTTCTACAATATTTTCTCCTGAAACAAATATTGCTCCTGGTTTTATAATCTCAATTGGAAAGTTTCTTTCTTTTATTTTTGTACATTTTCCTTGTTTTTTATTTAAAATTTCTGATAAACATGTACTTTGCTTGTGTTAACGCGCGAGGGTTAAATTATTAAATCAAAAATTGTCAATCACTTGTGCTTGCAGGGTTCTGGTGGTTGTATTTGCTAAACGTCACCTTTTCTTTAGGTGCGCTCTTGCACGTTTTACGAACCTTCTTTTTACTTTGATCGTTGACGGAGAAGGCAGCATAACCACCCAGGGATGTTGTGATAATAGACATTCAGCCCATAATTGCTCTCTGTAAATTCACACGAGTCGTTCAATGTCACATTGGTTGTGCTGGAACTGCCTGTTTTTGAAAAAAAAAAAAACGAAATGGTCTAATTTTAACATTGGCTGGCCAAAGCGACGCATTTCGTATTTTCTCAAAATTTGTTGATGAAACACCTAACTTGAAATTGACCCGTTTATGATTGTGATTGTCCACTGGGTTGTCTTTTTTTATCAACGGAAAGCAGTACAAAGACTTAATATCAATGCATGCATGATTTGACACATAGTTTTTTATGTCATCAGCAGCAACGGAAGACTCAAACGATGACAGATATACCCATTTCATGCGAGCAGCAACCTTCAGTTCAGTGTTATCACTTGAGCCAACAACAACCATTTATATCCGCATTTTATTCTTCACCTCTGTCCAACCAACATTGTTACTTAAGCCCAGCGTTGCCAGGTTGACGTTTTTAACGTCATTTAACCCCCGTCCCAGCAATGGGTTGTGCGCTGGGTTTGGGACCCGCCACGTATAAAAAATTCCAGTGCAGAAGCAAGGTAAAGCCTCGGATGAGACCCCCCCTTATGATGACGACCACGGAAAACTTTTAAAGACTACGATTTGAGGGCATGCACCTGGAATGTCCGGACCCTTAATGGGAAAGGTGCCTCTACCCGGCTGGTTTAAGTCCTCTTCAGGACAAAAGCGAACATCACCGCCATCCAAGAAATGCTTTGGACGGGGTAAAGCAAGCAATGTCTGGGGCCTTGCGACGTTCCAGCAATGCGTTGTGCGCTGGGTTTGGGACCCTACACGTACAAAACACTTCCACTGCAGAAGCAAGGTAAAGCCTAGGATGAGACCCGCTCCCCCTTATGATGACGACCGCGGCAAACGTTTAACGACTACGATTTGAGAGCATGCACCTGGAATGTCCGGACCCTTAATGGGGAAGGCGCCTCTACCCGGCTGGTTGATGTACTCTTCAGGACAAAAGCTGACATCACTGCCATCCAAGAAATGCGTTGGCAAGGCAAGCAATGTCTGGGGCCTTGCGACGTCTACTACAACTGTCATGTAAACGAGCGCAAATTCGGAGTTGGATTTGTCGTGGGACAGAGACTCCGTCGCCGAGTACTGCCGTTCATCCCGGTGGACGAGCGTCTAGCCACAATCCGCATCAAAGCGAGATTCTTCAACAACTCGCTCATCTGCGCCCATGCCCCGACGGAAGAGAAAGATGAGACATCCAACGATCTCTTCTATGAGCGCTTGGAGCGTTGGTGGCTGTCTCCGGATGGAAAAACGAGAAACCAAATCATGAGTAGGCAATTCAGGAGTAAATTCCTCTCTCGACGTGCGAAAACCACACTTTATAAGTCACTCATCATGCCCGTGCTGGTATATGGCGCAGAAGCATGGACAATGACAACATCCGATGAGGCGGCTCGTGGAGTATTCGAGAGAAATATTTTGCGGGAGATTTACGGGCCTTTACGCGTTGGCGACAGCGAGTACCGCAGACGATGGAACAATGTGCTGTACGAGCTTTAAAACGACTTGGACATAATGCAGCGAACTAAAATAAAGCGGCTCCGCTGGCTTGGCCATGTCGTTCGAATGGACACCGAATCTCCAGCTCTGAAAGTGTTCAATTCCGAACCCGTTGGTGGTATCAGAGAAAGAGGGAGGCCCTCATTGCGATGGAAATATCAGGTGGAGAAGGACTTGGCTTCACCTGGCGTTTCCAACTGGCGTCAGTTGGCACAGAGGAGAAACGACTGGCGTGCTTTGCTGAACTCGGCCAAAATCGCTTAGGGCAGCGCCAAATAAGACAAGGAAGAACCTATTGGTCTTTCAATACGGCACTGGCCTGGTAGCCAAAAGCTATAAAAGTGAAGGCGGATGCCACCTTGAGCATGCTGGAACGACTGCTGCGCGCGGTCATCACAGGAGCTATGGGCACCTGTACAAGGGATGCCCTTGGTTTCATTACACGCATTCCTCCTTTGCCTATTCTCTTTGAAAAGGAGGCCTGCTGGAGCGCCCTACGTATGTCCAATATGATCAGTAAGAAAATTGGAGATTTGGCGGTTCTAAAGTGGATAATCCCGAGTCATTCTTCTACAAACCCTAAAAGTTCAAAATTCTTAAAAGGANGCTGGAGCGCCCTACGTATGTCCAATATGATCAGTAAGAAAATTGGAGATCTCCGGGGCATTTGGCGGTTCTAAAGTGGATAATCCCGAGACATTCTTCTACAAACCCTAAAAGTTCAAAATTCTTAAAAGGGACTGATGTGAAGTGAAAATAACTATGATTGACGAAGGGTTCCAAGTATGGAATACCGACGACGAGAGTACTGTGGCAGGCTTATTTGGACCAAGATTCCAGAAAAGTCTGCCAATTTGCACATACCCAACTATATTCCAGGCGGAAGTCTTTGCAATCGAAGTCTGTGTAGAGGGCCCAATTGTTCCAAAATAAATTATATGTCAGGCAGGTTAAAGGCCTTAGACTCTTTAAAAACTGCGTCAGGCTTAAGAACAGCTGTAGAACGCTTTGGAACGCGGGTCATGAATGGTTTGAAGGCAACGAAGGCGCTGACTGTCTCGCAAAGCGTGGAGCCCAAATGGTCGTAGCCTTTTGTGAGCTGGTGGAAGAGACCTCAGAGCATATTCCGTTTGACTACCCACGTATCATAAATATTAGACTGATACACCTTGGGGAACGATTGTCTTCTTCCGCCGATATTTGAAACATGGCGCACTCCAAAGTGCTTTACTTCTTAAATAGCCTAGGGTTGGAGTGATTACAATTAGGTTTAAGCACACTAGATCTGCTTAGGTCGCAGCACGAGTATCCCCTACGTAGTAATAATAATAAAATGTAAATATCGTCGTTTAAAGTACAAAACCGTGTGTCGTCGTTCTGAAAAACCGTGTAACTGACATTGGATTTGCTCACACAAGCTCTTGGCTAAATCCTTATCCATTCGTCCTGAAATATACTAGCCAGAAATGCGATTGCTTTACAAAAAAGAGAACTATTTTGAAAAATGAGTGTTTTTGCTCTCTAGAAAATAATTCATGCAACCTCACATCCACGACGATATGTGTAAAGAGACAAACATTTATGTAAGTCTGTACAGTAAAATGAATCGTTATAAGTAGTTAATTTGTTTTTATTGTGCCAGCTGGGTTTTAGTTTTACTACATTCTACATTTTTAATAAACTTGACATAAAAAAAAAAACAAATTAAAAATTTTATTGTACCAGCTGGGTTTTAGTTTTACTACATTCTACATTTTTAATAAACTTGACATCTTGACATAAAAAAAAAACAAATTAAAAATTTTTGGTAGGTTTTGGTTGGTCTTGGTAGGAAAAAAATTGTCCGTGTCAATACTGCTTGCAACTTTTTGAGAGCTCATTAGTAATAGTATAACTAGATGAAATATCAACAGCCAGACTATTCTGACGGTCATATCAAATGAAAAATGTCAAAAACGTCATTTTCGTGCAAAATGATTGAAAAAAATGAAATATGTAGATGCACAAAAAATTTTCGAAAGTAATTCTGGCATTTGGATCTTGATTTTATTTAATTTAAAACTTTACAAAAACAATTTCAGTACCTCATTTGTGGAAATATATATAGTTGTACTCACCTGAGATTTGTTTATAGTAAATGTGATATCCATCGATTGGGCTATTACCAGCGAACGGCTGACTCCAGGTAAGCTGAAGGCTGCGCGACTGTTGTGAATTAATTCGAAGGTTTTTTGGTTGCTCTGGAACTTCCTGTACAATCAATTGAATCGACATCTCATCCTGCCGATAGAAAAATATATTGAGTAGTAATTGTAAATTATACAAAGATTGTGTGCAGTTTGTTTAGCTATGTATGTATGTATATAAATACACATATATGTATGTATATTGAAGTGAAAATAGATCTGGTTTATTTTATTTTAATATCGACTATATGTATACTGCGAACCATAACGGAACGGTGCAATTCTCGCAATTATCGAAATGGCTTAGCGGATAATTTTACTGCCCTGCAAAAATCGCGACTACTCCATGCATGCATGTAGAGAGTACTCCCTAAGCGCCATGGAGTACCCAAAATTAACCACAATTCATATAAAAAATATGGTCCAATTAACATTGCGATGTCCTAGGGCAGGACCATATATTCCATCTCTGCATTACATCAGAGTACCACAAAACTACTCCAACATATTAACAATGACATTGGGCGCGTTTCTAAGACGTAGCTGTTGTTAAACTGTTGAGTGTTTGTCTTCGAAAAGCACAGTTGAGTTGTTCCGCTCAGCTCAACAGTTGGCAACTTTCCGCCATTTTTTCAAGCGGAAAATTTTTACGCTTCCTGAACTCAACGTGTTGGGCTTAGCCTAAACAGCTGATCGTAAAGACTTACGTCGCTTGTATTAAATTTAACGCCGCTTTGTTAGGTGGCAGTTGCAAACAAATTTATTATATTTTATATTACTGATGTTATGAAGTAATTAAAATATTTTATACTCATACCACGTTTCTAAATATATGTTTTTAAGATGTTTGCTATATAATTATACACTGTTTAATTCATTATAACATTGAAAGATTTTTTCAACACGGCGGCAGCTCAGCGTTGAATTCTAAATACTATCGGCGCAACTATCTGTATTTATTGCAATTTCATTTCTTTACATTTATCAGCTGTTCATTTGGCAGCATATTCATCATGCCGTTGCTAAGACGTAATTGTTGGGTCCAACAGTAGCCAACAGTTCGTAACAGTTGAGCTAAACAGCTACGTCTTATAAACGCGCCCATTGTTGTTATATTTTTTTGTTTGTACACGGTTTTGTTCTTCACTTCTCAGATGCTTTTTCGAAATTAATAAAAACCAAAAACAAAAATTAAAAATTACATGTTACCTCTAACGGCATTCGAACCCGAATATGCTAGGAGCTAACAAATAACAGCGAGCGTCTCTACACGTTCATCTACAGCCAAACATGCAAATGTGCTTTCAAATAACCCACTTCAATCACATTTCGTTAAAACACGAGCAGTGATCGGGTAACAAACAATAAGCTGGCGCAGAGACGAGTTGGTCCGCTACAGCATGACAGAGGAACACTTTTGTAAGTACTCCAATATACCACAAATAGACTACATGGTTCGACGATTTTTGCAGGGTAAGAGCAACAGATGAAACAAAAATTTGATGTTTAATGATATGTATTTTGTACGGTTTAATAGAAATTTTTGGGACGGTTTCAATATAAATACAGTTACGTACATACATGGACTTTTAGTTTCCTCGATGATCTTTAGCAGATTACTCTGATTAATACCTTTTAAGAACATTTTACCGCACTTATTGTCATTTTTAATTAGTTTTTTTTTGTTTAAATGGGGTTCTAATGTACAACTTACGCAATGAGGCTGATTAGGTATTACAATTTTTAAGATAGTATAACTCACTAGAAAATAATTTAAGAATTATATTGACTACCAATTAATGCTAGAAGTCCAAAAGCCACATTATATGTGACCTGGTCTACGAAAAGGGAGCTTACGTGCGAAAACTAGTTTTCTGTGAAAAAGCTGTTAAAAGTAAGCAACTCGTTTCGTCAGATTCTCATTATCTCGTTAATTGTTCTCCGCGCCGGACGTCCAGTAAGTGTTGTTGTTGGTCGGAATATTATTATAGTACCATCGTGTAAGTTGCTAGTGTGGAACATTTAAAAAAGTAACACTGAAGAAGTGAGATTTACTGTATCTTTCTCTACATTTTTAGTACACTTCTAAGCAAGCTAGGATTTTCTGCGTTTCACCACGTGAAAAAGCACCTCATCTTCCATCCGAAACAACCAAAAAGTGAAAATTGATTTTTTGACACCTAAGCCCGCTTTCCGTAGACCAGGTCACATATACTGTATTATACATATGTCGGTTTCCCTACACGGTCAAAAGTTTGGGTTTAATTTTTAAACCGCGCTGGGACTACTGCCTTTTCTAAGCTTTCATAGTCTACTTTTTAAACCAGTCAATAGTTTTAGCAATTTTTAATATATTCTGGTTTAAATTTTAGTCCAAAAAGCTCGGTGTTTAAAATTAAACCAAAATGTTTTAATTCTAGTTTCTGGGTTTCATATATGGAAAATTTGGTTTAAAATCTAAACCGAAATAGAAAATGTTTGCACACAGCGAAATTCGGTATTGATTCAAATACAACATTTGAAAGCACATTTAAATATGTGGCTGTAGCTGAGTGTGCAAAGATGCTTGGTACAATTGGTTGCTACCAAGGCTGTCCGGGTTCAACCCCAACCAGATGCAGCGTGAAATTTAAGAATTTTTTATTCTTAATTAAAAATAAAAATGTTTGGTTTTAAAATTTAAACCGAACTGTTTAAATTCCAAACCCAACATATGTGCCCTCTTTTTTTTAAACTTAGAAGGTTTGTATTTGAAACTGAAATTATAGTGGGGGAGGCGAGCGACAAGTAATTGCAAGCGTTTTACATATAAAAGCTGTGTTTTTGATATTATGTAAGCTGACCAACCGTCCTCCTTTGCGGAGGATTGTCCTCCTCAAACGTTATTTGGCCTCCTCAAAAATATTGTCATTCTCTGTCCTCCTTTTGAGCAAAAATGTCCTCCTTGTCCTCCTTTTCAAGTTTTATAGCCGAGATGAAATTTAAAAAAAAATTCGTTAAGAATATTATTATTTCCTAATTGTAAAGTCATTGGCCGGTAGTCGTAGAGAAGTTAGAAAAAGGTTTTAATGATTTAAATTGTGTTTTATAGTAATTTTAACTCTTTCATAATTAACTTAAAATGCATTTTATGGCAAAAACAGAGTTTTAACTTTAAAATGAGGAAAACGTAATTTTAAAATGGTAAAATAAGGTTCTAAGTTTTATTTTGCTTTTGAAGTAGTAAACGCAGTATCGCCCAGGTTCTGCCCCCACTCCAAACAATTTTTTTTAATTTTACTAATATTTTTTAATATAAACATTCTTTTATTTCATTTTATTAAACTTTACTTTATTATTTTTTAATGGTATTTCACATAGTCATCAAATTTTTTGTTTTCGGAATTTAATTTTGGCCACTTCGTGTCTCAAAACTTATCCGGCTCGAAGGACCAAAATGTAAAACACCGGGCATCGCAAGGCTCGCGAATGGACGCACCGGTGTTTTATGATATGAAGAAAAAATGGAAAAAAGTGAAAAAATTAATTTAGTATTTTGCAACGTTTATTTTAATCAACTATTTTCGACAGTGATATACATATATCTATGTGTGCATATACAAATGCGTTTTTGATTACCTTTAGAAAGTGGCCTAGTAGCTGCGTTGTATCCTCGTTGATCTCCAAACAGAAGTGAAAAATATAATTTGCGGTTTCTAAGTTTCGACCGCCGGACAATCAGGGCTGTTCTGAAATCCGATCGAAATTGATTTCGCATCGATTTGGATTTCCGACTAGGAATCAAAAAGGTGTTCGGCAATCCTATCGAAATTGAGAAATTCGAACAAAAAGCAAATCCTATTCGAACTGTCAAAATTGAAATGTTTAGTTGCTGCGTCCATTGTTTACATTTATATTTCATTGTAATTATTTCATTTGTGAAAGAGTAGACTGTTTGTTATTGAAAACTTTGACAAAAAGTTGAAGAAAATGAGTTTTTGGTTTGTGGCTGCGATTGCCATTGAAATTAGAGAACAAAATAACATGGAAAAGTTAAAGAGGAGAATTTTGCGTGACCACAGCAATCCGCTAAGTCTCTCAGATGCATTGTGAGCTTACTCAATGAAAATTTATAAATTACTAATAATTTGATTTAATCTTTATATAGATTTGTTGCTCAATACCGTCTAAATAAGGATGCGTTCTCCATGGTATTAAGTGAAGTGGAACCATACTTAAAAAATATGTCCATTCCACCTATTATTCAATTGGCTGCCACACTGAGGTTCTTTGGTGAAGGAGGTTACCAGAGGTCAGTAGGAACAGATGCAAATATCCAATTAGGTCGTAGCACTGTTTCCAAAGTTATTGGCAATGTGCTTACCGTCCTCGAATGGAAACTCTGCCAAAAGTGGATCAAGCTAAATGTGTCAGAAAGTGAGCGACGCCAATGTAAATCATTTTTTTTTAACAAATGGGGGATACCTGGTGTAATCGGGTGCATTGATGGCACCCACATCGAATTAATAAAGCCACTAACGGATGCCCCCTCGTATTACAATAGGAAGGGTTATTTCAGCATAAATGCTATGATTGTGAGTATATATGTACATGAACATATCGTTATTTTGTTTACGAGTCTCTCTATTTAAATAATAAATTGCAGATATGTGATCACAACATGACAATTCAAGCTGTTGATGCAACGCATCCCGGCTCCAGCCACGATTCTTTTATCTGGAAGCTCAGCAATGCATATTCTCATTTTGTGGCAAAATATCGGGGTGGCGAGCGTTGTTTTCATTTGTTGGGCGATAGTGGTTATGGCATTGAACCATTTTTGATAACTCCATTTAGGAATCCAATTGCCAATACAATAGAGCATAACTTTAATGTAGTACACGCTTCTGCGCGTAATATTGTTGAACGAACTATTGGCGTCTTAAAATCTCGATTTCGTTGTTTAATTAGTTGCTTGCACTACAGTCCACAAAAAGTTGTTAAAATTATTAATGTCTGTTGCGCACTTCACAATGTGTGTAGACACTACAACGTTAACTTCGATGAAGAAAATATTACTGAAAATATTAATTTCCAAAATATGAACAACGAAAATAATATCGATGATGAAAGAGTATCATCGTTATATAACGAAGGAGTTCGTGTCAGAAATGAAATAGCAAACAATCTTACAGTTTGAAGTTCAGATAAATTTATTCATTTTTCAATGTCTTTTATATTTTTTTCGCATATACAGACACACAGTTAGTGGCAGTGAAAATCGCGCAGTAAGTTTCTTCAATTTTTTTATATAATAAATTTGTTTATGAAATAATACTTCACATACATATGTAACGGAAAGTTTCAAACCTTGTAACAAATTAACAGAATTTAGTAAAATTTTCATAAAAGTTTCGAATTGCTTAATCTTTTTTTTTAGCAAAATGTTTGGCATGTAGTCTTAAAGACGATTTTATTACAGTTTATAGTTGGAAGAAAATGCGTAACACCGTTACTTAAAACTCCATAAACTATAATTAAATGGGCTATAGGACTACATGTCAAACATTTCTCTAAAAATACTGAGTTTTATATTTGATGAAAATTTAACTAATTTTTATAAATTTGTTACAAAGCTTCAAACTTTCAGTTATATGGTTTTTTTTGAAGTGTGAAGTGTTATTTCGTAATTAAATTTATTTAATTTAAATGAAATAAATGTAAAAAGAATAAAAGAAATTTACTGGACCATTTTTATTGACTCATTTCATCTTAAAATATACTTTAAAGAAAACTTGTACTAAAAACTAATACATAAAAATAATTTAAAAAAATAAATCAAAACAAAACAAATTCATACATAAATAAAGAAATTCGTATTTACAAAGAAATGTTGCTATTTTTTATGTAGTATTCTTTCTATATTTTCATGGTGATTTTTAAAGTCTTCTCTGATGCCATCCAACGTTTCGTTCGTTTTTTCCATTGCGTCACAGAAACGTTGCATGGCTGCGAGGTTCTCTTCTCGGTTTTCCATCAACGAATCCAGAACGCCTTCAACCTTTCTGTTGAAATTTTTTTGTAACTCCAGGGATTCCTTGAGACAGTCCTTGAAAATGAACACAATGTTATGCTGGATAACAGAATATCTTAATAAACTATTACCAGTAAGGAAGTTTCTTTTTTTCTTTTTGGAGTCGATGCCTGAATATCGTGTCGTGCCCGTTTTTGGCCTGTGGAAGTTGAGGGCATCACTTCTTCCTCAGTTAAATCTAGTACCTCCACCTCCAAGTCCACTGTTTCATCCAGCCCAAAGGATGTAGTCTCGGAAATACCCTGCACTACCGTGTACATTCCCGTAATACGCGCAAGAGTTTCCTCAGCTTCAGTCAGAGAATACTTATTGAAAATTCCGCCACCAGTCTCGGTAGATTCCCTGCGGTTATGTGCAAGTTTCTTACGCACCTCACACTTCCAATCAGTGAAAGTCTATTTTGAACACAATTTAAAATTTAAATTTAAATTTTCTTCTTTAAATTTATCAACATTGTATTTGTATTTATTTATTAATTCTACCTTTTTCCAACCATTGACATCCTTATATGGGCCCTGACTATTTAAAGTGTTAGCCAGCTCTTGCCATTGCTGCTCGACTTTCACCCGATCACCTTTGGCGTGGCCTTTGGCTATGTCCGGATTCCGTTCCATAAATTCTAGCAACGTCGCGCTTTGAGCTGCATTCTTGTGTTTACCCCTTTATTAAAAAATACCGATTAATGTATGAAAGGCTTAAAAAAAACTTTTTACTTACATTTCTTAGCTTTTTTTGCTTTATAAAAATAAAAACCTGTAAAAACGAACTAATTCCGCCAACTAATACCGCGTCGGTTTTATTCTAACGGAATTCTCCGATAAATCGAAATACAGAACACCAAATTCGTTGAATAATCGGATTCGAACATAGATTCCGATAAATCAAATTCGATAGGATTACAGAACACGACTATGCAATTACGATCGGATTCAATTCCGATTCCGATAGAAATCGGATTTCAGAACAGCCCTGAATAACTGACGTTAAGGGGAAACTTAAAGCTCAAACAGTCAACGACGTAACGTAGACGTAGGTTGACGCAGACACGATCTACCTTATGGGATTCGCGTGTTAACGAAAACTCACCACCGCATGGCGGTGACGTTGCCGTTGCTTCTCTCTCTCTCTCTATCAACAGCAAATTTTATATGCTGCTACGTACGTTTACGCTACGTCGTTGACTAACTGCGCTTTTAACGAAGGTTCATTGTCCGGCGGGATACATTAGTTAAGGCTTAGCTGTTGTTAATATATACGAGCATGTATGAGTGTATATACATGTACATATGTACATATGCCAGCATTAGGGCGGTTCACTCAAGTGGGGAAAACTATTTAGGCTGAAGGCCTAAACATTTAAAAATTACAACTATAATTACATAAACAAAATTTAAATAATAATTTTTAAAAGAACAAAAAAGACGTAAAAAAATGTTTCCTGCCAGTGGGATTCGAACCCGTGACTTCCCGGCTTGTTAAAGCCGCAATTCTTCTGCGGACACAGGGTGAACTAATTGATTCACTCATATTTCTTTATATTGCCGAGTAAATTGTTTCTCTTCATATGGATAACTCTGTTCTCTCTCATCTTAACAAAGAGATGCTTCAAAGATTGACACAACTTAAAAATCTATTCTAAACTTACAATTTTATTTTAACAAGAAGAAGAAGTGTAAACTCCTTTTAGCCTTAATGAATAACATTTAATACGGCTTTCCCACGGCACCCCAATAACGTAGATCGTTCTCTCATTCATAATTCGCACTCCAATTTCCCTTCGAATTACGTAATTCGCGGTACTAAATTTTGAGAATGTTTCCCGGAAATTTCGCCACTTATTATTTTTACTGCAAACGATTAATTATTGTATATATATATATATTAGGGTGATCCAAAATAACTAACCTAATGAATTTATGGCCTTAAAATAACATAGTTACTGAGAAGGAAATTCTCCCATTTGTAACAATTTTTATTTCAATTTTAAGATGTTCGAAATTTTTTATGTAAATAACATGTAAAAAAATTTGTTTTCGTTGAAAATGTTATAACTCTTGAACCGTTAAATACCGTTATAAAAACGTTTTTTCTATGCGTATTCTTTTAGACCATTAAATTCTCTAAAAAATTACCCTGAAGTTGGTTGTCTTACAGACGATTAAGAGTATTAAATATGTTAATGATATTTCTGAGCGAGATATAGCGTTGATACAAAATTATAATCGAACTTTGACGAAAGACGAAGAACAAAAGAAATTTATTTTGGAAGTAATACCTACTATTACAATTTAATAATTTAAAAAGAAATAGTCAAAACTTGTTAATATGTGACGGTCTTATGATTATGCAAGGCAGTGTACTATTAACTTGTTTGACTTGTGTTTAGAGAAACTTTGAATTGTTAATTTATTTGTTATTTATGTGTTAAAATAAATATAAGAAATTTTTTGTCTTTCAATGTGGAGTATTTGCCCTCCTGGAATGTTAAAGAATTCTGGTCACCTTATATTATATCACGTTTGTGGTGTAGAGAAATAGCCTGCCGTCAGTCAATCCAATTCGCTAGCATTTGGCCCAGGGCGGTTTAATTTTGTATAGAGACTCTTAATCTTGCAACTAATTTATAAAATCTAAAATACTACTTAATTGCGAGTATTATACTGACTAAAAAGTACTAAGACATTGGTGAGTCATTAAAAGTCTGCAACCGAGCCAGTCAGTCGCGCGTTAAAGTTGTACAAAATCTCTGCATCGTGAAAGCATTTTATAAAATCTGAAATTCAGTTCACATTTGAAGAATATTATTGTAATTACAAAACGAATAATCAGTTACAACGTTTATTCGCAGTAATAAGTCGCTTTAATTAAATTCGCCATGACGCAGAACATACATATGTATATACCATAGATAGAAAAAACGCTACTCGCGAGTAGCGTCTGCGTCGCAGCGCTTATACGTATCCAGAAGCGACGCAGCGAATTTCAATTCAGTCTAGGGATGAAACGATACCATGCAGGAATCGATACATTTACTTGAAAGTAGTATCGAAATAAAGTATCGATACCTACTCATATCGATACTTTTGGCTATGAAAGTGTTCCTTACGAACTAGATAAATAAAATTTTGTTTTTTATGTCAGTTAATGATTATCAAGGAATCCTAAACTTCAAACAATATGTTAATTTCCTTTCCTCATCATGTCGGTCTCCTTGTCGGTGGGGGTGGGGCTTAAGTGACGCTATGTCCGTTATACCGGTGTGCTGGGCACAGCAATATGAATCAAGAGAGGTACTGGGTATAGGACTGGAGACTGAGGTTGCTCTCCCGTAGTTCGTGTGGCGACCGTGGGATGCAGCTCCCATGCGCAGACGCCCGCGTCCCACCCCAACCGATTCCCACAATGCATAAAAATGAAAATATAAACAAAAACACAAACACAAAATTTTAAGGGAGGAGAGATGTCTCGGAAGACATCCTGAGCGCAGAGGAGAACGTGCTCGTGGCTCCCAGTCAGGACTCTGCACGCTCTTCGATAATAATACCGGTGAGCGCTAAGCCTAGCGATCCTGACAATACCCCATCTTCCTCAAAGGCAACGTTGAGTGCTCCATAATGCACTCCAAAGAGAAATTCTTGACAAGATGGCAGTGGCCGGTACTGTACACCCCAAGGATGAGGAAGACAGTCCAAGGTGCAATGAGGTGGTGGAGGTGTACAGGAGGTACCTTACTTCGAAACCAAAAAGAACCCTGTAGCAGTTAAACGAAGTAGACATAAGGAGGAGTCTACAACCGAACCAGATGGAAAAAGAGCGGACACGAAAAGCACGCCCCAGCAATAAGAAACGTTGGTGAAAGGACGGTACTGTGAAGTGGCCAGGGATCACCATCAGGTCGCGCTTGTCGACGAAGCCTCAGGAAGCGGTAAGCCCGTTTCGGAGAGGTGGGTCGAGATCGAGTTAAAACTCTCTGAAGGGATGGGTGACTACCTGTTTGAAAATGAGCTGAGCTGTTGTCGGATTTTCAATCGTAGAGATGAGTTCTCTAGGGAATTCCTCGGCGAGTGCGTAGCCGAGCCCGGCAACGCCTGGGAGGGTTTGAAGTTCAAACTAAGCCCTGCCGAGGAGGTACCTGGGAATCCCAGGGCCCACATTTGGCTGCCGAAGATGGCTATGGACATCGACAAGCTGATCCATTTCCTGCAGCGGCATAATCCGGAGATATCCATGGGTGAGTGGGTAGTCATTCGTGCACAAAAGCGTCTAGAGGGCGCGCAGAGTTCTTCGTACCTTCTGAGGCTTAACGAAGAAAGTATTGAGCCATTACAAAAAATGGACAACAAGCTGATCTTCGGGGTGAGAACAGCTAAACTAAAAATATTCCGCTCGAATTAGCCGATTCCAGAGGCTGATATCGAGGCTGCCAAGCAAATGTTGGGCGATATGAACGTCAAAGTTAGCGGGGACCGAGAGGTCGCTGAAGGTGTCAACCAGGTGCTGGCAGGCACAGGTCCAGTTGACAATGCCGAGAAAGTCGATGAAGGTGGTCCAGGCAATTCTTAGGCACTCTAAGGCCACCTCGGACAAGCTCTTTTTCTTCCTAAGGGAGGAAGACATCAACATCTCGCTGATACAGGAAACTT